CTTCAAACAGGTCCTGTCTCTGGAATTTTGTGTATATTGAGTGGACAGAGCAGAGTTTTGCATTTGTAGTAAATAACCAAGTGTTGAAATATTCCTTCAGCCTTTTGGGTCAGTTTTTGCTTACCAGAGTCTGCAATGATCATGTTTTTCTCAGTTTGTTATTAAATAGCACCCTACTGCTTTAGAGTTTTATTAACCTTGTTTCCATTACCTGAAACAAATGCAAATTTCTGTATTGATCAGCTAAATAAAGGGAATCCTACAAATTTTTAAAAACATGCCTAGCATAAAGCCCTGTTTACTGTCAAGTATTGTGTCTTTCATTTATTCCATTGCATGAATTTGAATTTGCTATTCAATTCTGCTGATAGAAAAATAAAAATGACCTTTTCATTCCTTGAGAGGTAGCTAACTAATGGTTTATATCTTGAGATACCATATTAATGTATTAGTAATGTACCAGATACCATTTCAATATTTGAGTTACATGAGCTGTGCAATGGCTTCCTTGTTGTTTCTCTCACATTCTCTCAGTTGTTTCTGTTGTACTGTAGACAATAGCAGAAGTAAGAACCTCAGGATACTCTACTAAGCTATATATACTGAAACCCTCTGCTGGATTTCTGACAGTAGAGTTCGGATGCTCAGGGTGGGTGTTCTTCCACAGAAGTGATAATCTAAGACCAATTTAAACAAATAACACAGAGAAGCTTAGCAGTGAAGCTCAAACCTATTTCTGCCATTATCTGAAATTGAAACAAATTTTGTGAAGAATGAGAATTGAATTCCATGAAAAAAAGAAATAAATTTGAATGAGAAAAATTGGTAAAAGTAGGAGGATAATGCTCCATTTCCCTGCGTAGATCCTAATTGTCCTATGGTTTGAGATGGGGTAAATTGTTTTCTGTACCAGTTTAGGAATAGGCAACACTTTGGACTGATGGTGATATCTGGAATTTTATTTATTTATATAACTTATATGGCCATCTATATGGCTCACAAAAAAACCAATAAAACAATTGTATCACCCATACAAAGAAACATCACACTTACCATCATGATTCATCCCCATCCTAGCCCAGTGCTTGGGGGAAGAGGCAGGTCTTCATGGCCTTCTGAAAAATTAAAACGGTAGGGACCCTCTGGATGTCAGTTGGGAAGTTGTTCCAAAGGGCTGGGCAGCCACAGAGAAGGCACAACTCCCAGATGTCAATATAGGAAAGGGACCTGGAATGTGCTCACTCTACCTGACATGGTGGGATGGACAGATACACTCAGGTAAAGGCAGCCCTGATTACCTTGTCTATCCTATGCAAGGCTTTAAAGGTGGTAACCAGCACTTTGACTTGCACCTGGAAAGAAACTGGGAGCCAGTATAGCTTGTGCAGCTTTCCAGTGCACAGGCAAGCTGCAGACTGCTGCATTCTGGATCTGCTGTAGCTTCCATGTGGTCTTCAATGGCAGCCCTATATACAGCACACTGCAGGAATACAGTTGGGAAGGGACTAAGGCATGAGTGACTCTGAGCAAGGTCTCCTGGTCCAGGAATGGGTGTAATTGGCACACAAAATGAATTTGTGCAAAGGCCTCCTAGCCATGGCTGCCACCTGTTCCTTCAGAAGGAGCCAAGAGTCCAGGAGGACTCCCAGATAAGGCACCAACTCTGTCTGAGGAAGTGCTCCCCCATCCAGAGTCAAGGACAACTCACCCGACTTCATGGGGCCAAAAAACAAAAGCCACTCCATTCTGCTATGGTTGACAGACTTTGTACTCACAGAGGCCCTGTAAGGGCTCACCCAGTCTCTACTTATTCAGAAGGGACCTGTTTCTCAAAACAAGGCCGTTATTTGCATAGGCAATAAGAGCAGAGAAGTGAACATGCTTCATTGCTGTTAGGTTTACTTGGTCAGTTTCGTCCTTTGTCTTCCTCTAGCAGCACTGTAAGAATTTCTTCCACTGTTTATCTCCTGGAATTCCTCTGCAAACCAGGGGATCTAAGGGAGCCACAATCTGCCACAATCACAGAGTCCACAGAGAACTCAAGGGCCAAGGACTGATCTGTCCATGACAAGGGAATGATGTTAACATCCTGCAACCCCACATCACTTCACCACTGCCCTGAGACAAAAACCAGAGCTAGTGTGTGACACCTGCTGTAAGTTGGGATCCTAATAAGTTGGATCAGGTCCATAGCTGCCATGGTTGCCATGAAATCCCAAGCCATTTCAGACTCTAGACCCAAAGAAGTCAGGTTGAATTCCCCCCAGAACCATCAATCTGGGGAACTCCACTGATAACTCAAGTCACAGAGTCAAGGAACTCAAGCAAGGGAGGAAGGTAGGCGAGGGGCAAGTCCAACCGATCCTTACAGCCCAATTTCACAGTGTCTCACATCCAGCTATGTCTGGGGAAATAAAAGGCTACTAGAGACTCCTGAATGCTAACCACTACACCCACACCCCTGCTTCTCAAAACCCACAATGGCACATTTCTGAGAGATGAAACCACTCCTGAATCAAACCAGGTTTTGGTGATACCCATCAGATCAGCCCTCTCATCCACAATCAAATCATAGATGAGGTAGATTTTATTACAGGCTGACTGGGCATTCAGTAGCAGCAGCCAGAGTCCAGGGCATTTGAGTCTCCAGAGACCAGGCTAAGCATAGGGGCTAGAATGTGACAATGGTAATAAACACCAGGGCCCCTTTCCCTGAGAGCAGCTCTCCCCATCTCCCACCATATCTTCCCATGCACCCATCATTAACCCCACCCTCTCCCTCCTGACCACCTCCCCCACCCCTTAATATTCCACCCCCAAGCAAAAAGGTCTCATCACAAGATTCTTACCAAGATGGAATGGAAGGATATACCCAACATGGGATATACCCACTTCTGCTTCACATTCACATACCTGCCCCCCCGCCCACTGTCACCCAGGTCCCATGGGAAACTCCACACTCAACAAGCAAGGTTCACCCCCTCCCATCTCTCACCGAAGAACAAGAGGCCAGCCCACCAAGCCTCCACCCAGCAACCTTAGCAATTGGTAGATGTGGCATTAAGCAGCCATTGAGTAGAATGCCAACTGGTAACTTTGCTTCCCAGCAGCTGCTCTAATCACAACACTTTCAGCTTAACTTTCATTTCTCTTGGGCATACTTCCAGACAAAGCACAGAGTTGCAGCCAGCTATCATCTTTATTTTCATCAATGGCATCACAATGCCCACCCCTAGGTTCCTTACTTGGAACCACTTTTTCCCACAGAGCTCAATGAGTATCACTGCAAAGTCAAATGTGCCCCCAAAGTACTTACACGTTTGTATTGTAACTGCAGTAAAAACTTGCAACATTTCTTTTAAAGTACACTTCTTACTTTAACCCTCATGGATTAAGTTTTCCAACCAATGTTACATTATGATTTCTCTTCATATGATCACAGTAAAACACAAAGGCATCAGTTTTCAAAGAACTTTAATTCATCTCCCCACTCCTTACATTTTAGGGCACAAGTCATTATCTGGGAAAATTAGTTTCATTGTACTTCTCAGGAACTTAGGACAATATCAAACCATGTGCTTTTCTTCCCCCAATGGCTAATGGTTAAGTATAGTACAAAGAATCACAATTCTGGCCAGCCACATGCCTTTGGTAGATTAATTTCTACTGAGACCCCATTTTCTTGAAATAGCAATTTCCCATTCTCAATTTTAGTTGTTTTTACTTTTTTTCCAAACAAAACAGCTTTCCCTGTGGACTGGGAATGTAATGCATTTCGAAGCAAGCATAAAAGTACAGATTTCCATATGCCCCACTCCTTGGTAGATATATATCAACAGGAAAAGGCATTACTTCCAGTAAGGGTCCATATCCGTAGAAATCAATGTTGTCAAAAATTATCTTTAGAAAATGAAAATTGATAAATATTTAAGTAAAAAATGCTTAAGAGTACATATAACCAGCTTACTTTAAAAGCTGGTGCTCTTCCCATTTGAGGCGTTTTTTCCGGGGTTGCACAAAATCATCATCTGAGTCATCTGTTAGGGCTGGACTATCTCTACCAGAATGACAATAAGTTTGAACAGAGAATTTTCTGTCTGGAAAAAGATTCTGCAGAAGTTCCTCAAAGTAAGCTCCTAGTTTCATTCCAGCATCGGCTACTTCAGAATCAGGCTGTTGGGAAATTAAACATATTAACAGCGTTAGAATAATATATTTCTATACCTCACTAAAATGTTTTACCACAATGGAAAATGAACTGCATAAAATATTGCTAGAAATGTTTGTGAACCCTTATCTTAGAAACAGATAAATAAAACTCAGGGACTTAGTCAATGCTTTGACAGAAGGTTAAAGCATGTTGTATTTTTTGTACATTTCATTATAGTATTTATAATGCCAAAATGGCAATCAAAGTTATGTTAGCATTTTAATTTGTAATTAGATATATCCTATTACTGCCTGTTAAGAGAATTGGCTTATGATGACTTATAATTACCCTATATATAATAATATGGCTCTGTAAACTACTGTATCGTGGTACACAAAATTAGATTCTCTGGTGTAGCAGAAACCTTTGCTGAACAGTAGGGTGGAAGGCTGGAGTTCACACTCTGGCCCTGTATCTCTCTTTAGGATAGTGATTTTGTTAGATTGTGCTGCCATCACTATTTTCCAAGAGATGCCTCATCTGTCATCCACCCTCACTCATACACTTTAATGGCAATTTAAAGGTAAAAATGACAGAATTCCTATACTGCCACTTCCTGGCTGTATACCACCAAGGAATGCAGCTAGATGATTCAGTACTTCCTCGGAAGATAGTCCAATCTTGCAAAGGTAGGTAGGTAGGTAGGTAGGTAGGTAGGTAGGTAGGTAGATAGATAGATAGATAGATAGATAGATAGATAGATAGATAGATAGATAGATAATGTCATAATTCTTAACTTTATATAATAAAATGCTAACATTCTGTGTTATAGGAGATATAGAGCTTTTCAAATCACAGGAAAATAACAGTTTAGAAAGGGAATCACAAGCAAGCAAGTGTTCAAGGCAGACCACAAGATGGTATTCAGATGCTAAAAATAAAAAAGAATTTGCTATGAAGAGATTGAAGTGGCATTTCAAATTATTATTCCCAAATCATAAAAGATTCTAAAAAAAAAATTTCCTTGTGCACAATCTGAGGTATGCATAATATCATGAAGGGATGAAGGAGACTCACACAGTATAAAAAAATAAACAACTATCTAATGCAATTTTTTCCCTAGACTTGTTTCCTATTTCTTTAGAAATAATACCTGAAGCAACTATTCTTACACCTCAATTTTCTTGGAATCCCCCTTTTCCTGAAAATTCCACACAAGAATTCCAAACTTCCAAACTCTGAAGTTTTGGAGAATCATATTAATCCCTTTCTTTTCTCAGCCTCAGTCCAGCAACTTCTGTCTTGATTTTAAAAGAACAAAAACTACTTCTATCCCTGAACAGTATAGGCTAGGGTATTGTTCTGTGTACTTGATAGAGAATATCTCTCCTTGTGAAGAAATGGGCTCTATGCTTACACCTCCTGGCATGCAGGCTACCTACCTGTGAATGCCAGGGTTGAGCCATTCACAGTACTGGTTAACAATGATGGTTTCTTAGAAACATATATATAAGAATATATTATAGTGTTTTCTCACCTCATTAAATTCAGCACAGTTTTGAAATATCAGCCTGAAATCAGCTACAACATCTTCTGGTTTTGTATATACTGTGTGATGTGCTTGCAATCTATTCTTGATTGTTGACAAATCCATTGGCCTCTTAATTATTTTGTAGTAGTCAGGCACCTAAAAAGAAACAGATCAATATTTTCAGAAGTTTCGTTTGGGTTTATTTTTCTGCTGTCTTGGAATTAAAAAAAAGTTGCATTGCAGATGGCTCTTATTAGGCATACAGAAATGTATTCTTATGTCACTAATGGAAATAACATATTTTCAATTGTAGTAAGTAAAACAAATGGCAAGCTGTATTGCGGATGGTTATAAATCACTTTTGTTTATTTAGTTTATTAGGCTTATAAGCCGCTCCTTGCCAATGGTCCAGGAGGATACTGTGACTGATGGTATCAAAGGCTGTTCGAAATAAAGCAGGACCAGGAGGGTTATACTTTCCTATCCCAGTCCTGCCACAGGTCATCCACAAGAGCATTTCGTGGAGTTTAAGTTCCTCACCTAGTCTGAGCCCTGACTGAAAAAGGTCCTGATAATCTGTTTCCTCCAAATCTCTGCAATGGCAGCCCCACCATCCTCTCAACAACTATCCCCCCAAAAGGAAGCCTGGAGACTGCCTAGTAGTTATCTAAAATTGCCAGGCCAAGCAATGGTTGGGACCCCTGCCTTCAAGGCTGATGGCACCACGTATTTCTGGTTGGGGATGGTAATGTTAGCTGATGTCTCTTTCTTGTCCTCTGATTATTTTTTCCTTAAATGTTATGAAACCCTGTGCTGCAAGGGCAGTATTTCATCAAACTAGTAAATTAAGGATATTTACATTGTAGTATTTCACTATAGCTGATTCTTTTGTTCTAAATATGTCAACCAAAACCAAGAAAGTTTAGTGGACTACAGCTGCATCACCTTCATCTCTATCAAAAGCAGTAGAGGAAGACATCCTGCCGACTTATGAAGCCAATCTCTTTTCTTTACACAATTATCACAGAGACAAATTGAATTCTTAAACAGATCCAAGAGGAAGTCCCTAACCTAGAGGATCAAATGAAAGCCCAGAAGATGACAATATGTGTGCTAGTCACAATGTTCTGAACAGTCACATTAGTTTCCTGGAGTCTAAATTATGTAGGAAAAACCTGCATATGATTGGCACTGAGAATATACCTAATCAAACTTGCATGACAAAATTTAGGGAGAATTATTTTAGAGATCTTCCTCTGCCTGCTGATTTTTTAATTAGAATTGAACATGTGTATAAAATACCCATTATAAGACAATCAGGGGCTGGGGGACCAGTTCAAATGTTGCTATTGTTCAATTTCTGTGTATTACTACAAAAGATGACATTCTGCATAGAACTAGACAAAAATCAGAAAAAATCCCAGGTGGAGATCCCAGGTAAGAATATAATATCTATCTACCCTGATTTTACTAAGGAGGTTGCAGACAAAAGAAGCTATTTATTTTTATTTATTTATATTTCAAATTTAGATACCGCCCATCTCACAAAAAGTGACTCTAGGCGGTTCACAATAAAACAGCAATAAATATTAAAATACAATAAAACATTATAAAATACAGTAAAAATAGAATAAAACCAAACACATACACAAGTCATATCTTCCAAGATATTGATGGTCAGTAAGATGTTAACATATGGGAGCATCTTCAAAAATTTGCTACATTTTCTGTCAACTATCAGGTATAAATAAAAAAAGTTTCAAAAGCAGCTGAGGCTTTTTTAAATGGGACTTAAAGCTGATACTTCTGCTCTTTTAAGATACTTAATTCTATCCTCAAGTATTGAAGCAATGATGACCAATACTGCCTTTATAGTTATCAACTTCACCATCAATTTAAAAAATTGCCTTCTTGAATCACTTCTTCGACAGAAGACTTTTAAATGGGATTTAAAGTTAATACCTTCAGATTTTTTTCTTGGACTCCTGTATTCACTGTGTATTAACTTTTGCTTATTCCCATACCTTATCTTGTTTCTGGGCATACTGCCAAGTTATGTTGTGTCTGATTATTTTTTTTTCACCCCATCCCACTCTCCCCCAGCCCATGGCTTTTCATTTACTTTTTATTCCACTTTTATTTAAGGATGACATTATATGATTCTATTGTAGCTGAGAGGGAGATACTACATAGCTATATCAACCAGAAGTGAAATTTCTTTTTTTCCCCCTTATCGTTTCTCTTTTTGTTTTTCTCCCTTATATACCATTTATGCTGTTCTTATTAATTAGTTTTTTCTTCTCTCTGTTCTGTTGTATTAAGTAAAGCGTTCTTTAAAAAAAAGGCTGGCGGCACTACCTCATCTCAAGCAAGCACTGACCACACCCAAACTGAGCTTCCTGTCAGTTCCCTGGAGGCTTTTACCAACCAGAAAGGGGAGGGATGGCTGCAAGTGACAGAGCATTGCAGAGAACTTTGTCTACATCTTTAAGATCAACAGGTTCAAATACATCCCAGGTAAACTTGAAAGATGTAGCATCTTGCAAGATCTAGCCTGACCAGCTAGCATCTAATTCAGAGTAAATCTGAATAATTTTATCCTCTGAATGCCCTACAGATAGTTCATAGCAGCCCAACAGATGATCTTCTGGCTCAACCTTCCTCAAAAAGATCCAGGTCTCTTTAAACAGGGTCACCAGGCAGGACTCTCAGGACCTGATAAGAGTAAAGAAATATTGTTCTGCTGCCTTTCTTATTGTCATGGTATAAGCTCAAACCTGGATGCTCACTCATGTTTGGTCAGATTCTCCAGTGCTGAAGGCATCTTCTCAGATGCTTCATCTCCTGGACCTCCTAAGTAAACTGAGCTCTTCTGGATCAATGACCAGGAGGAGGCCACTGAGGTGCAATCCTGTTTAAGGCTATTGCCACCTCTATATTCCAGGATGCAACTAAGGCCTCAGCAGGACTGCCTACCACATCCTTGGAATTTTCCCCAAGTGCCCTTTTGAAACCAAAAAGATCCATTAGGGGACTAGAGAGATTTAATAAAATAGGTCCATCTTCCCTATGGAGGTGGGTAGTACCAGTCAACTCCATAGCAATCAAAGAGTGATCTGGCAATAACAGATGTTAATGTCCTCACCTTAACAGCATCTACTCCAAATTGAAAATTAGATCTAATATGTGGCTTCCTCCTATGAGTCTGGGATAATCTGAGTCTGAATGATCTGGGATAACCCTATGGTTGTTCTTGTGGGTATGAACTCTTGAGCTGTCTCAGCAACCCAGCAACCCAGTACTAATAGCCTGGGAAACTGCACCACAAAGCCTGAGATGACATCAGCAGCTTAGGCAGAAACACTGCTATGCAAAGGGGTGGGGAGGGGCGTGATATAACAGCAACAGTCCTAGCTTGTCCCTAAAGCCTAACTTTAAGAATAAGGCTGCACATCTGGTTGGTTATCTATGGAGAATATCTCTGGTTGCTGCAGAGCTTCCTGCACGATAACAGCCACACCACTTCCCTTGCCCTGGGTTTGGGCTAATGCCAGGCCCTAATCCCAGATGGGCACATTCCCAAAATAAGGTGGTAGATGAGGAAAGATTTATTATAGGCAGACCTGGCATTAGAGAGCAAGGACCAGAGCTCAGGGACTTCAAGGACATAGTAACTCAGCTTCTGGATTTGGGGGTATGGAGTGCCAGAAGTGCTCAATCCCACCTTCTCTGAGAGCACCCCCTCCTTCCTCCTATTACTTCAATGACATATAATAATACAAGGTTTCAAAAAGACCAGAAAATGAAAAGTTGTCAATAAATAATTCTTGGAAAAGCATAAACAGTTAAAGGATACACAGTTAAAAGCAATGACATTCAAATATGAGATGCAAATTATAGAAGTTTGATATTACAGCTCTCTTTTGTCTGAGTCAGTGTATTTTGAACCACAATACAGAGATTAGCTTATCTGACCAATAATGGGTACAAACACATGCCTCATAAAATATCAGTGATAAGTAATAAAGTTAATAACATACCGTGGGAGGGACTGGATCTTGAAAAGCAAGGCTCATTTCATGGCAGTAAAGGTACAGAAGTAATCTTTCATACTTCTATATATTGGGACAGAAATGACTACCATTATTTGGGACATTAGCTTGAAAAGTTAAAACAGCATTGTAAACTATGTAAAAATGCACTTGCTTGAAACTTGAACTTGATTTTTCTTTCCCTTCCTCACCCTCCCCTCAACACATGTTTTTTCTGTCAATATTTTTAACTTCCAGAAATATTCACAAAGTGAACTTCAAGCAAAATAAATGTGAACTTCTGAGAGAATGGATGTTCCACTGATAATTAGTATATTTCATAAAACTATGAAGAAGGATTAGACATAGCAAGTTGAAAATTCCATACCTCATACCCATTCATTAGATATTTATGAACCATTTCTGAAGCAAACATCAAGACGGATATTAACATGATATTCCAAAGGCACACGCTGGTCTGATTCTAAGTGCTAAGTAGCCTAATTGGTACACATCCAATTTATCCAGATCTCACTGTTAGAAGAGTGCCGAAATAGATAAAATTAAAACTGCCACAATAAATGGTACACTATAATAGTTTAGAGAAAAGTTCTAACATTTAAAATGTACATGTACATGGCTAAAAGAAAACCAGAGGAGGATGAGCCTATGTATCTGTATCTTTCTCTCAGATTCTCAATACTAATTAGGGAATTCATTATTTTTGTTATTATCATGTACTTTTTTTCAGAAATAGTTCATAGAATTAACACAATACAATGAAATTACCCTCTGATCTATAGGTGCCAAACCCAGATTGCCTTCCAGTTTTCTTTTTTCTTCAGAAACATGACTCGAGACATCACAATCATATTCTACTTCTGGGTTAGACAAATCACGACAGAATGTGCAAATCCATTCACCGCTGGGAAAAAAAAAAGAAGCAAAAAAAGAAGATTGGCATAAGCCTTACATTTTTCATTCTGAATGCTTGCAAGCTAATTCTTTCACCTATCTTTTATAATAAATGTTAAAAGTTAATACAATGGTTACAATGTACCAATGACAGAGAAATTACTTAGTTCAGTTTTTGAATTTCTTCTGTCAAACAGTCAGAAAGAGAATCCCTAACCAGAGAGATGGTAGGTATTAAAATAGTTATCCTTACAATAGGTACAATTACTTTTGAGTGGAATCAAATTGTTCAAACATTAAAATCCTTCTCCAAATTAAACTGAAAGACACAAAAGGTCAGACTGGCCTGTCTCCTAAATGATTACCTCATGGCATAGTTTTTTATGGGAAGGAGAAAGATAAAGTATAGAAGAATGTTCTTCCTGCGCCCCCTCACCTCCCATTCCTCCTCCTTTTCCTCCTCCTCCTCCTCCATCATCCAAATCTTTGCTACAATAGCCCTATGTGTATACAGTTTTCTCTCCTCAAAGCAGGAGAAATAGAGCTATCTAGTTGGTGGTGGAAAAAGCATTCCCAATTAGCTCTGACAAAACTATTTTCTTAGTAATCCTTAGACAACAAGAAAACAAAGTGTTGGCTATCAGTGAGTACTACAATTGCTGCCCTTGTTTAAAGAAAGTACTGGAAAAAACACCATGGGTACCTTCTGGATTTAAAAGGACACCGACTTATAGCTCTTGATGATTAACAGCATTAAATGGAAAGCACAGATTCAGCAGAAATAGAACAAACTCAAAAGGGATTTTCTCCTTACCCAAAATATCTACCTTAAAGTCTATTAGTTATATGCTATCTGAGACTGGAAAAAAAATACTGGGACAGCTGATTTTTAAGCAGCATTCTGTAGCAGAAGAACAAAGCCACTATTCTAGATTTATTTGTTATACTTTAATTTTCAAATAAGAACGAACATAGCTGTGGTATCCAGGTGGATTTATCAGCCTAAATAAATATGAGCAAGAGCTAAAGACTGGAAAACCTTCTGCAACTGCATATTTCACAGTGATAATCTTGTTTTATACATCCACAGACCAAACTTCACACTGAGGGTTCCAGTTTAGCTTTAAAATCAGATGCAATCATTTAAATATTCATGCCATAGAAACATATAGACTTTACCTTGGAAAATTCCTGAGTGTGGGAACATGACATGAAAGGTGGAACACTTTAGGACATTTATCACAACACAAAAGCTCTCCTCCATTCTGACATACTGCACACCAATCCTCATTAGGATCATCATCTTTCCTGCTGTCTCCACCATGTGGAGTCCCTATCCATGTTGCCTTGCCATTGGATGGTTGGTCACCTGTACTGTCTGGTGCTTCTGTTCTCAAGACTAATGCTTCAGAGGAGTGGCTGCTATTCAGCAACACTGAGGAAAGCAAGGTTCTTGGAAATCTGGACTGTAAACAAAGAAAAATTAATGTCTAGTTTCATCAAAATGTAATGTCTTTACTTGCACATGTGTTAATATATGCACACAAAATCATGTCTCCTTGACAATTATATATATTATCTAGCCAGCTGAATCAGCTACTACAGCTGGATATGCCCTTACAAAGAGTGTGTCATATCAAAGATTTATACCTTAGATTTTAAAAAAAACACCAAGATTACATTAATTTTAACTCTCATCAAATGTGTTTCATTATGGCTTAATATAAAATAGTTCTTCAGCAGAAACATACTAATTCAATTAATTTATAAAACAAGTTAGTGCCCTTTTGTATTTAAGACTATTTCTCATTATTGTAATTACATTTTGATTCCGGGATTCTTCATCTGTTTCCTGCTTCACTGTGACAACTGGGAAATCATAGTTCTCACTTGGCATGCCAGATTCTTGTTTTATTCTGATAGGCTCTAACATGACTACAGGGACTCTCTGGGTGGAATCTGCACCTGATGGTCTGCTAGAAGAACTAGAGCTGTAAATGAAATATTCAGAAAAAAAGAAGGAAAGATCAAATGGACTATTAAAACAGATTCTGCATCATCTGAAGCAGAGCACAACAACACTACTTTCAGAAACTATAGCATGCATAAGGTGGGGGGAATCAGTCTTCTGTTTTGTAATTCTTCTATAAAGTTCATGGTTCATTCTTGATGACACAAAGCCTGATTAATGTAATACTCTGACTGAAACTGTGTACTTTCAAAAACATTAAATATTTTTTTCATACATTTCAACCACAAAATTAAAATGGGTGGATTATCATTTCAAGATGATAAAAAGGGTAATAATTCCCTTACTTTGTCAATATCTATTTTTGCTTCATCTAGGTAAAATATTTTCTGCTTTTTTCTTTAATATGAGGAATAGTGATGTCTTAAGCCCTAATTTTTAAATACTTATAATATGACCTTTCCAAAGAGTATCATCTAAGCTCTTTTATACTGTTCTCTATCTTGTTTTCTGCAAAATCAATATAACATTTATCTTCATATCATGTATGTTATTAGGAATTCTGTTTTGTTTGTGTATTTTACCCTGCATCCTTGTCCCTACCAGCTTAATATACATTGCTGGCTATTGGTGGGTGCTATTTTTTTTTTTTGCAGGAACTAAACCTGCCTGTATTATGACATAAACCTGCCTGTTTCATGACACAAAAAACTAAGAACTACAACAAAAATTATTTTCTGTAGAGCACTAACTATTTTTATACAGCTGGGCATTGTTGTTGTATAGTCGTTAAGTCATGTCCGACTCTTCGTGACCCCATGAACCATATTGCGCCAGGCCTTCCTGTCCTTCACTGCCTCCCTGAGTTTGCTCAGTT